TAATTTTTTTTGATGTGTCCTTCGGATTTAAGCCTGTATAATTCTGTTTTTACTGAGTCTAGTAAGTGTAAAGGGACCCTCCTGCCTTTTAGTTGAATTGGCTTTAATGGTTCATGAAAATGTGTTATTTTTGTTTGATTCTTTATTTTTCCAATCCGAAGGAATAGTTGTATGAAGGTTTTTCCAATCATTTCTATTTCATTATCTATGTCAAGTGAAGTAACGGAATTGATAAACTTACAAGTTCTCTTGTTGGTGAGTGTTGCGTATTGTTTTTGTGAAACTTCGATTCCAACTTTTGGTAAATTGTCGTTTCCCAAGATGTTTCTTTCATGACCTTGAGTTAGAAAGAAGTGGCATTCCTTGTGGGACCATCCATTTGAGAAAATTGGGACAATTACTTTTCCAGTGATATTTATTGCATTGTTCGTAAATCCACAATAGAGTTCCTTGGTAGCTTTATCCACTGGATATATTTTCACGTAGGGATCTCGTAGTCTCAACTCGTGTAACACATTTTGTTTAAGGAAGCTTACAGGGCTTGCTGAATCCACCTGTATGTTCAGAATTACTTGGTTTTCATTTCCTAAGCCGATATTTAGTAGTTTCTTCATCTCCTTTCCTTGATCATCGTAGATAGTTGTTACGTTTAATACTGAGTAATCGTCGTTATCGCTTTGTCCAGACTCTGACCATGCATTTATTACTCCACAGCATTCTCTATTAGCGTGGTCAATATGTACATCTGGTTGTTCCGAAGGATAATGATGATCCGTATTATTTACAATTTGGCTATCCACAATATTTACATTTTTACGGCGTGATTTACAAAGTCTAGTAAAATGTCCTCGATATTTACAAGTCGTACATGTTGTATCTTTAGCAGGGCAAACCGCTAGATGTCCTTTTGTAAAACTTCCGCCGCATTTCATACATGTGTTGTTTCTTTCGATGTTTAGGGTGGGTTCTCTTTTTACATTAAAATGATTAAAAGATTTGTTGGAAGAATATCCGCTGGATTTAAAAGTACTCGTCATCTTTATGTGGTTTGTAATTCCTTTTTCATCAATCAGGGCTACGTTTAAGGCTTCTAGTGGCGGTAAGGTTTCCGTGAGAAGTTTCCGTTGGATATCTGAATTCTTCATGTTATTAATAAAAATATCTCTAATCCATTCGTCTTCTCCTGTGGGAATGTTACATCGTTTTGCCATTTCAGCCAGTGCCCCCCAGAATTGTTCTAATGATTCTCTGTCCCTCTGTTTTCTGTTTAAGAGTTTGTGTCTTTCGAAGGTTATGTTTGTGAACTTCTGGCCGAATATTTTCTTTCCTTCGTTTCCAAGGGCTAGATAAAGTATGGATCTTAGTTTTTTGTCCGCCTCTTCCAGTCTCATACCGTTGAATTTCTTGGTTTCTAACTTTATTGAGGCCATTTCTTCATCATCGAATCTCTTTTGTTCTTGGATATTCCTCTCGATGCGTGATGTTTTTTGAGCGTCGGATTCGTTTTCCGGCGGATTTTCCAATGTTGGGGGAGGTGGGTGATATCGTTCCGTTGGATTCAAGAGATTTTCGATGTCGATATTCTCTTTTGCGATTATCGCTAGCTGGAATAGATCGCTCCACTCTTCCCAAGGAATTGGTGGGTCCACTGTGTGGTTCTGCCAAAATGAAGGTATACCTCTCACATTTGATTCGTTGCTGTTTGACTGCGCCATGATAAAATGTTCCTTTGTTACGGTTAATTCTACTTAGTTACAAATAAGATATGTTTAAAAAGTGAATTAATCTCTAAGTTAAAACATTAAAAAGTGAGCGGTCATTCTCTCCGTCGGAGAGAATGAAGATAGCAAGGTCAAATCAAGATTAACCAGTTAAGATACTTTAAAGTAATTAGTGAAATAAAACAAATGGTAAGAATCACAACACACCAATTAATTTATGCGTGGCGAATTGACTAGACTTAAAGTTGCTCTTTATTGGCACTAATGCCCAAGCGGTGTTGTTGAAAACTATCATTTTTTAAAAGACTCAACACGCACCGATAGGCTGAACGCTATATTTTAAAGCGTATCAAAAACACAAGACGGCTTTTACAATTTTTTGCAAAACGAAGACAACTCGTCGTATCAAGGTAAAGCCCTGAAGGTTCCGACAGCCTTTTAAGGTCTATTGAGCAGTAATAACATGAAAAATTTGAATGTAATAAAACAAAATTGATTTTTTTAAAACTTGAGATGTTTGTTAAAACATGACCCCACACGCCATATAAAATACACAGTGATAAATTTTGCACCTAGCAACAAATCAATTATGGCATATGAGCTTCTTTGAACCAATTTGGAACGATTTTTAGGACGTACTAATTATCTGCTTAATAGCGCGAAATATATCGCACGTTAATTCTCCCAAATTGGACAAAATGGCAATCTGTAAGCCCCCCTAACTTCACAAAGAATAAACACAGGTGAAGTATCTTTCCAAAATTAAGCTCAAGACAACAATAGCTTTCGAATGATTTTTAAAAGTTTGTCAAAAACGGCTAGTTAAAAAGTCGAAATTTGTCTGAAGAAAAAAACCGTCCCGAGCTTAAATGGTCCGTTATTTTCGTTACGAAAGTCGGAGCAAAACTAAACCAAAACTAAAAAAAATTTAAAAAAAAAGCAATGGTGTTGACCAACTAATATGCTCAAGGTCAACCATATTGCCAACAGTTAAGCGGCGTGCGCAGATATTTTTATAGGGTATGGTGGACCTTTTTTTTTTAAAGTCGAGACCAATTTGATTTTCCGAGATCTCCAAAAAAATTAAAACGATCCTCATTTGTCAAACGTTTTTGAGCTTTTTTGGAAAAAATTGACAGAAAAAAAGCGTTTTTTAGCGCGCGCTCCCCCATCAAAATTAGGTATGTTAGTGCTGAAAGCGCCTCTATGAGAATTTTGAGATTGGTCAGCCAAAAAGAATGGCGTAAAATTATACCAAAATTATAAATATTGTTAGTTATCACTATTGTTAATGAAAATTATACCAAAATTGTACCTCCTGGGCACGCTACTGATTTGGCCCTAACTACAAACATTCAGGTTTTTGCCCTAATACACAAGCAGTTTTGAAAAGATATCCGAGCTTAGAGAACACCATCATTTGGAGACTGAGGAGTAGTTCTACAGTTCATTCAGTTTGTTTCGAGTACAAACAAATGTTATTTTTTTTTTTGTTCCGACTTTCGATACGAAAGTAACGGAATATTTGTGCACGGGGTGGGTTTTTTTCTTCAGAATAATTTCGACTTTTTAACTAGCCAGTTTTGACGGATTTTTTATATCAGTCAAAAGCCATTGTTGTCTTGAACTTAAATTTGTAAAAATATTTTACCTGTGATCATTTTTCGTAAAGTTAGGAGAGCTTAAAGATTGCCATTTTGACCAATTTTGGTCAATTAACGCGCGATATAATTCGCGCTATTAACTCCGCCTTATAAATCGTTCCAAATTGGTTGAACGAAACTTATTTGCCATAATTGATTTGTTACAAGGAACGAAATTTCTCTTTTTGTACTTTATAAGGCGTGTGGTGGGGATGATTTTCTTTAAAAATTTCAAGTTTTGGAGGAAAAAAAATTTCATTTTAGTTTGTTTCATTTAATTTTTTATGTTTTTTTTCTGCTGCTTCATAAACCTTAAAATGTAGTCAGAACACTCAGGGCTTCGCCCTGATACGAGCAGTCTTTTTTTAAGTTTCAGAATTATTTACTTAGTTATGTTCAAAGATTGGTAATATCTGAAACAGTGCTGGAATATTGGATTCAAAAAAAATTTTTGACGGAGGTCTTTAATACATCTGGGAGCTGTTGTTGTTTTCGAACAAATCTGGTCGTATCAGCTCGAAGCCCTGAATATTCTGACTGCCTTTCAAGTCCTATGAAGCAGTAAAAACTTGAAAAAACTAAATGCATTTAAGAAAAAAAAAACGAAATTGTTTTTATTTTAGTATTGAGGTTCTTTGTGAAAATCATACCCCCACACGCTATATAAAGTACAAAGCTATAAATTTTGCTCCTATTAACAAATCAATTATGGCAATCAGCTTCCTCGAACTAATTAGGAACAATTTGGAAGACGAAATAAATCTCCACTCACGCGTTATTAGCGCAAAATAATGTCGCTATCGCGCGTTAATAGTCCTAAAATGGTGAAAATGGTTATCTTTAAAGCCCCAGATTTTTACGAAAAGTCATCACAGGGGAAATATAATTTCAAATTTAAGCTCCGGATATTGATACTTTTTGAGTTATGTAACAAAAACTCCGTCAAAAAGGCTAGTTAAAAAGTCGAATTTTGTCTGAACAAAAAAAACCCACCCCGAGCACAAATACTCCTTTACTTTCGATACGAAACTCGGAACAACAATACACTCAGCCCACTAAACCTTTGTACTTTAAGTAGTGTTCGGGGGATAAGAAGAAGAAAAATTAATTTTATTTTCTTTTCGTCTAATTCGTCAACTATTCAACCAAAAAAAACTTTAAATTGACCTTAAAAAGCATTCTGAACCTTCAAGGTTTTGCCTTGATTTACGAGAAGTATTGCAGTGCTTGCAGTGTTTTCAAAATAATTTCATTTTCAATAAAATTAATATTCCAACCCACGAAATTGGGATGAAATTCAGATTAAGGTAAAAACTATTCTTGCCAAACCCAAAACACCAATGGAGTTTTAATTATTATTTTTTGAGACGGTTTCAGATGTTATTAGAGCTGCAATGGAAAATAAAACGATGTTATAAAAAAATCAGTTTTTGGCTTTCTGAAAATTTTCGTTCTGCTTTTTTGTTACATAGATAGGGTGTGTTTCAAGCAGATTAGATTATGATTTAAAACTTTGAAAATAGAAAAAATTTTACAGAGTTTTTCATAAATTTTTGTTGTAAGTAAAAGAGAAACTTTTCATCGGAATACAATTAATTACTCGCACAGTAACCACTCATTTGTGTTTTTCTTGTAGCCTGACTTCCATTTTAACGAACACAAGTGTTACTGTGTAAGGCACAAATGTGCTTGTTGCGTTTCTATCAAAGAAGATACATATAACCTCGACGAGAAAATTTGCGTGAGTGTTGCTTATCTGTCGAAGGATGTCGGAGTAAAGGCCGACTTCGAAATCACACACGTGTTCAACATATCTAAGGAAGTGTCTCTGAGAAATCCTCCGGCTCTCTGCCCGAGTCCAGTCGTCTTGCCGTTCTTAAAACAAATGGTAAGTAGATATATAACAGCTTAGAAAAGTATTCTTCAAAGTTATAGATATAATCTAATTAGAGCAGCCCTAGGGACAACAAAAGCATCCTCAAGCTCGCCTAAATGTATTTAGCTAATGAGGGAAGATAGTATGAGCACCAATTTTTTTGGTAATCTGCTTTTTGTGCAAAATTTCATTTTTTTGCGCGTTCTGGCATCACGAAATACATTCACTTTTGATAACATATCGGCCAGATAATCATAGTCTCTCATTTCGATGAATGAAACCGTGAACTAATTTGAACACTTTGGATCTGAAAAGTAAAATTTTTTGTCAACAATGCATAAATCACGCTTATCAATGCATCGAACTGATTTTTATCAATTGCTAATAACTTAAATGGTTTCATTCAATTTTCATCAGTACTTAATTGTCAGCATCATAAATGATTCGTTCTTTTTTTTAAAAATGCAGAAGGTTTGTTACTTGATGGAAATCGATGGAAGCCGTGGCGATTTCTCGATGTGGGAGGTGTTTCAACTTTGCTCTAAAAACTGAGTACTTTTCTGAAACCATGTTGCACATTTATTCTAAGCTATAAACCACTCTGAAAAGCGTCAGCATAAAACTGTTTTGCTAGGAAAGTTAAATTCTTGCTCTGATTTTCGAAGAAAATAACTGAAAATTTTTGCTCGTGCGGCTCGACTTTTGACTTTTTAATTATTTTTTTTTCCAAAAACTCAATCAGTTTAAAAAAATCGTTCCTTGGAAAAACATTGATGTCTTGAGCTCATGTTTAAAAACATATATATTTTTAGCAGTCACCATTTTTTCCAAAACTGCGAGGGTTTGAAAATTATTTGGTCCGATTGGGGTTAATCAACGCGCGATATAAGTTGTGCTAATAGTGCGCTAGTGGCTATTATACCAGACTCAGATACCTTTCAAAATTGAATTGAGGCTTGCTTGGAGCTATTATCATTATGCTAATCTATGCTATAAATATCAATTTTCACCTTAAAAGGCGTACGTGGATATAACTTTTTTATTATTTTTTTTTCACTTCGTTAACGGAACATACTCCAGGGACGTTTAAGGGTAGCCGCAACGTTGAAGGACAGTCTGAAACGTGCAGTCTTGTTCTTCCGATTTTCGAAGAAACTAAAGAATATTTATGGTGTGGTAGTTTTTGTATTCGACCAAATCTAGACTTATTAATAAAACTTTGACATTTTTGAACCATCTGAACTATATCGATGTTCGGAGCTCTGACTTTGAAAAAAAAGTTACTGTGATTTTTTTTCGTAAGGTTTTGAAAAACTATTTTGAATAAATTAGGATAAATCACGCAGGATTTATAGCGTTCCATTAGTAGCGGTGCAATTAATTCACGTTGAATTGAGGCAAATCACTTGTTCTTGTTATAAGGATACGAGAAAATAAATTAGTTTATTATATAGCGTTTGTGGGGACAAAGTGAAGAAGAAATAAACAAAAAATTTTATCAACTTGTCATTCATTTTTTCAATTGTTCAAATAAAAATGTCTTAATCAACCTTAAAGAGTAGCTGAAACATACAAGGTTTCTTTCTTATACTTGAGCAGTCTACTTTGTTCCCACTCCTAAAGAAAATGACGAAATACCCTTGCTCGCGATTGTTTTCACCAAGTTAAGTTCGACTTTTTATTAACTAGGCACAAGTTTTTTTATATCATCCAGAAGATATTTTTGTCCTGAGCTAAAGGGTATTCAAAGTGATAATTAAGGTGCGAAATATTTTTGTTAAGTTATTGGGCTTTGAAGATTGCCAATATGGCCAACTTGGGACAATAACGCGCAAGTTAGTTTGTCTTCGAAATTGCTCCAAAATGGCTAAAGCAGAAATTTTGACATAATTACTAGGTTACCAGGAGCAAAATCTATCACTTTAATTACCTGGCGTGTAGGGGGATTATTTCAAAACTTTTTTCAATTTTTTCCAAAAAAACTAATCAATTTTTGTTGAGCGAGCACTGTTCCATAGATTTTCAAAGGTATTCGAAACATTCAGTGCTTTGCCTTGAACCGAGCAGTCTTGTTTGGTTTTAATTTACTGATCAATCGTTTAAAAACTGATTTTTCTTCAAAAAAAAACTGACAAAAAATTGTTTTTTGATGTGCATCAGATTTGTCTAGTTTTTAATATTTCCTTCTCTTCTTTATTTAGGAGAAGCATGAAATCGAATTCTGCATCCACTTTCGTGAACTTCAATTCTCAAAGGACATGGTGGAAGGATGTGTTGAATTTGAGCTGCAGTTCCTCAAATTCCTCAGCTTCCGAGTGCAACTGCTTTGTTTCGAGCTATGGGTCGCTGAAGCATCTCAGTCGTGCAATCAGGCTTTTGATGGGGTTGAACTATGCCCTGAAAAAGGAAATCGCACTTCGAAGGCCTTAATTCACAACCATGTAGAGGATGGAATAGAAAGTAGGACCCAATCAAAATAGTGTGAACAACAATATGGTCTCAAAATAGAACTAATATAAGACCAAAAAATCAAAAGAAATCAAAAAATTCTGAATAGAATCAAGAGCACAAAAAAGTCTCAAAAACTGACATGAATAATTTTTTGTGTGCGTTTTCTTTTTCAAATATTGAAAATTGTCTGTCTAAGCTAATCTGTGTTGAAGCTAAATTTTTAAAACTGATGTCTCTCGCATCAAAGTTTCATTGATATAGTCAATAATAGTGTCATGTTATAACCAGTCGCTAAAAATCTATAACAAAAAATTGAAACTTAAAGTGAAGACGAAGTAGGCGAAAAAGTGAATGAAACTACATCAATTGAATTTATTTCCTTGATTTCGTTTCATAAAGAGCGACATGGGAATCGGTTTCATTTTTGTAGACAAAATAGCTATATGTTTTTCATTTCAACCATCAATAAGTAATCCATCTGTGAAAGCTGTTTTTCTGTTTTTCTAGATGTCAAATCGCGAGAAAGAAGAGAAACTGGCATTGAGAAGATGCTGAAGGAGTCCAAGTTTTGTTCCAAGGCTTGCATCTCCCTCAAGAATCGTGTGCTGCAGATTTTTAAAATTGGAAGTGTGATGAAACCAGAGGTGGCTGTCATTGCCATTTTCATAGGATTCGTATTTGTTGTAGTAAGTGCAGATCTAGTAGCTGGGACACCGACCATCTAGAAACTCTTGAACCGGAACCATTCCAAAACATTCCACATTCATACTTCAACGCTTAGAATTCACTTGAAAAAAATAGAATGCAAAGTGTGTACACGTGTAATATCATCGAATTATTATATCAGAGATATTTAAGAGTGCTTCGAAATCATTATATTATATATCAATTAATTTTTTTTTGTAATGCGATTTTTTTCAAATGACATAGTGGAGTTTGAGGATCCGTTAACGCAGGACAAAGTTTTATGTGTCTCTCTTTGTCCCCTCTCTCTCTCTCTTTCTCCTCTCTCTCTCTCTCTCTGTCTCTCTATCTCTTTCATGGACTGCTTCTTGATTTTATTGAGCTCGGCATTCATAATTTGAGCTATCAAAATAAAAAGAACTTACTTATTGTCATTTTGATAGAAACGAATAAGCACTGTTTTAAAGCCAACAGGTCATGGAGTGAGCAAATAGTTTCAGATCAGTTTCACTTTGGTCAATAACGCTCTGAACAGAGCACCGGGCTTAATTCTAGGATTTTGCTCTGAGACAACATTTGTAGAAGCTTTAAGATGCTTAACGAGGTCCACGGTGACTCTTTTGTATAAGCTAAACACTGCAAATCTTCGACTCTACCCACTACTAATCACAAATTCTTAAAATTTAAATCCCCATGATTTTCATAAATGATATCGACTCAAACCAAGAAAACACAAAATCTATACTATACGCAGACAACACTGTAATTATGACATGTACCCAGACGAAAATTGTGCATGCTGAGCACCCGGCTGCTTTAAACAAAACAGCCCAATAGGTAAAACATAACAAGCTTACACTAAATGCGGTTAAAACCAAAACCTTCATTTTCAGCGAGTCAAACTTGAAAAAATTAATCTCCACATTGTTAATCTAAATGATCAGCCAAATGAGCGAAGAACTTTTTCGATATCTTGGAATTCATATTGATGACCAGTTGAACTTCGATGAACACATTGAGTTTCTCGGTTAAAAAAATCACAAAGTTTTGCGGAATTTTTTATAGGTTTATAAAGTTATTTTGGACCGAGCACCTTGTAACAACTTACAAAATTTTCGTGTAACCTATTTTACAGTATTCCGTTTTGGATAAGTCATCCACAAAAAAAAACAGTGTAGATTTTTTTAGATCAATAAGTAAAGCGGTTGTTCAGAATTATTTAGAGCCTGTAAATACAGATCAATTCAAACTCAAGGATTGAAAAAAAAGTTAATTATCCATAAGGAGCTTCACGTGTATGAACTAGTGAAAACAGTGTCGCAGGTGTGAAATTTCTCAAGTGTGAAAGCCCTCTTCAAATTTTGAACGAGCTCATTACGGAAAATGAACTAAATAATCTTTCAGAGATTCACAGTACAGCAAACAAAACTACCAAAAAGAGCACATAAAAGCCCAAATGAGTCAATTGTTGTTTGGCTAGGAAAAACGTTAAGCAAAATCCTAAATTAGCATCCTATATTTATCGAAAACAAAAAATTCATCTCTTCACAAGTAAACTTTTTCAATCATCATTTTTAGACTGCTACATCCTGGATAACGAAGACCTCTAAAGAAAAGTTTTCTATTACACAAAAAAGCTCCATAATTTTTGTTGTCTTTTTTCTTGTAAAATTTCCTTTCGTCGTTTTTTGGTGAAGACCAATATAAATTAATCTAAGTGGTCACATGATTTAATTTCAACTTTTGAGAAATATCTCATCCAGTATCAAAAACTTCTAAAGTCATTTCCGCGCTGAGACACCTGAGAACGGACATGAAGGTCCAATGGTGCTCTCCTAGGCAGTGAAATTGTTGGCGTGGCTAATAAAATTATTAGTTACCCACAGTGGAATTGCCTGAAACCAACTTTTATGATTTTGATTATTAAATACTACAATTATGGGGAAATTAGAAGTAATTATTTTATTATCGTGTGTTAAATTTTTATTGACAAACTAAAATTAAATTTCTTTCGAGCTTTCTTGAATCCGGGGTTGAAAAAAAAATACCTATCATTGTTTTTCATTCACTGAAAAAAGTGCTTTTTATTTCATTTCATACTATTTCATAGACCAAAAAAAAAGTATGAAAATAGCATGACAAGCATTTTTCTCAAACTATGAAACTTTATAACAAGCAACTACTGCCTCAATTTGAATTAAATAACAAGCTTCTTGACACACTTTTTTAAACAGAAAATTTATTAAATTAGATAAGCATTTTCTTTTGCTATGAAATTGTATGATAGATTTGTTTTTACAAAATATGAAATTGTATGACAAGCATTTTTTTGATAATGAAAAAAAAACATTTTGTTTACAAGATTTGTTTTTTTACCAGAAACACACTGAACAATTACGGCGCAAATAAACTGCATTGGTGATATTAGCCAATTAAATTGGTGTTAACTTTTTCAAACCGCCTCATAAACCAAAAAAAAATTGTATGTGCTAGAAAACTTTAACTTTGAAAACATTGGTGGATGAGAAAAAAAGACCGTTTTTTTACAAGTTTATGTTTATCTTAGAATAGAAATTTAAAAAAATAACTGTGTTTTTGAAAAAACACTTGCTTGTGGTTTTTAGATTTTTTTGGTAAAAAACCCAAACTGGATCATGCTGAAGACACAAAAAATCATGTTTTACACGGAATGTTTTTTTCCGTAAAATGCATATTCGAAAAGGACAAACCTATTTCACCTGAAATTTGTGTCTTTTTTCTGTAAAAAAAGAATCTCCTCCAAATTTTATATATGAAATAGTTTGAGAGCAGTTTTTATTGCAAAAACTGCTCTCTCTCTCTGATGTCAGGAAAATTGCTACAGTTTTGTTTTGTTTCAGATTTCAACCCTTCAATATCATTTTCAAAAAAAACTTTCGATTGAACAAATTCTTGTCATACTTTTTCTTCTAAGAAAACTGTTTGACATGCATTTTTTAATAGACTTCCAAATGAAATTGTGTGACAGGCTTTTTTACTGTGTGGAGGTCAACCCACGATGCCAATCAGTTTTCACATGTGGAAAATGTATAATTTTATGTATTACGAAAACGTTTTACATTGTTCGGAATATTTTTTTAAATCAATTTTAATAAGAACTTGGATATGCAATGGTATTATATATTCTTCTTGTATTTTTAAGTTTTTTGGCATCAAGGTTTGTTGTTTTTTCCTTTTTTGTCCAAAATGCAAGTTTTGCAAAAAGAAATTGGTTTAATTGGAGACGTCTAATTTGTTTTCCCTCGATACATTTAAAAGTTATTCAACAATCTCTACAGAATTTTCTCATATTATATAACACCAGGTTGACCAAAAGTCTCAATTTTAGAAATTTTCCCGTGAGAGTTTTCCCATAAGAATGTTATAAGGTTTTTCCTTATAAGAAAGTTGTAACAAAAAGACTTATCTTACAAGTAAGTTGTAAAATAAAATTTTCATACAAAAAATTGTCAAAGTTTTTTTGCATGTTTTTTAATGTTTTATTTTACCCGGGATGAAACAAAATCTCAGACAGAATCTCAAACGCAGGAATTTTTGTTCGAACTGCATAAATTATAACTACTAGCTGAAACTTTTTGCATGCATAATTTTGAAAAAAAAATTTAAAACTTTGATTTTTATCTATTATTAGGATACAGAAACACATTTGACAAAAATTGGCAATTTTCTTCAATTTGAAAAAAAATATTTAATGTTTCAATATCTCATAAATTTTGAGAACTTGTCTTATGAGAAACTTGTAAGATAGCGGAAATTTCCTACCAACATTATGAGAAGTTAGGTTCCACTAGCTTTTTTCATTGAATGAAAATACTTCTCCGAATTGCAAAGCAATGACAAAATACTGCTACCTGTTGAGGCTTCCTTATATCAGAATTAAAACGCAGTACCAGAAATTATTGTCACTTTTTTGTGAAAAGAGGGGTTGAAATGTGTAAATGAGAACAATTTGGGACAATGTGTGCGGTATGTACAAAATTTATAAATAAACATCTCAATTTCAACTGAGACACTCAACAGTTTTAGATGATCGATACAAAAAGAGAAAAGAATCACTTTTCATTTGACTTTTCGTACTCGATGAAATTTATCGTCTTAAAAAAACTTCAAATCTTTTTCTAAAGATTTCAAAAACTACACAATATAAAAATGGTTTTCTTCAGTTAATGCTCAGATATAACCTTGAAATTTCTTATGCAACAAAATTTCGTTAACCTCTGAGTTTTTGAAAATGCCAATTTCTCTAAGTTGGCACACTTTAGAAGCTCCGTGATTAACGCCGAGTCTGCTATCTCATCAGACCAAGTAATTAATGCAAACGATTTTGCAGCAGTTTGCAGCAGTTTGTATTGAAAAAAAATTTATCACTTTCAATATTGAAACTAGTGTTTTTGGGGGTGAAAAATTTTGAAAACCAAAATTTAAAAATTTTGCGTTTGATTATTTTCTGGTGATACCAGTTTGCTTAACTTTTTTTACCCTTTTTGTAGTTTTTTTTCGGATATGTCCTGATGATGAACTTTTTTACCCGAAGTGTATCGACTTTTTACATTTTCTTGTTTTCTTATGATTTTTTGCTGAATATTTTGTTTCCATTTAGGCTTTTCGTAATCATTTTTATCGTTTTACAACGCTCGTGACCTGTTCACTAGGTACAGTCGAACTTAAGAAAAGTCGGTTGCGCTACTTTATGCACAATACGTCTGAAAGATAGTCTTTCCCACAAGCTTATCCCAAGATCGCAGCAGGCATGGACTACAAGATTTATCGTTCATGTTCATCCTGGTCCTTGTTTTATGATTGTGTAAAGTTATTTATGCCGATACTTGAGAAAAACAAGAAGCCTTCGGTTTTTTACTACCCTATCATTAGAAAACTACCCACCTAATTTATTACATCTGATCATGATAAACCTAAACAACCTAGTACTTTGAAGAAAAGTGAAAACAAAATTTTAGTTTTTTTGTAATATTGTAGTTCCGTTATTATCAGTTTTCTGATGAAAAATTATTCCGGTAGTTACATGCCAGTAAAATATATTCTTCTTGCTGAAAAATTACAAAAAAAAGTATCTGCGCTTAAAGAGCCTTCTTCCTTATTGTTCCAAAGCCGCAATGTATATAATAACTAGAGTGGGGTGCAACGCTCCATATGTCAGGCAAACTGTCCGTCAATTTACCACT